CACACTCGCACACTCCTTCCCACACTTTTTGGGGCCATTTGAATGTCTAGTCGAGTGTTCGGTTAGCCGGTCTGTCATGAATTGATACCAATTTGCAATTGTTAATGAAACGCTTTGTGCCGTGTCGATTACGTTGAGTGTGAGTGTGTGTGTGTGTGGATGCCCAAGCCCTAAACAATGGCTTGCTGCGGGCAACTGCATTTCAATCTTCTGCGTTCATTTCACTTTCCTTGTTTTCATTGACATTCAAGTTACATTTTGGGGAATTTTCGTAAATTTGTGTGAGCGTTGGCTCGTCTCATTTCTTGCTCGGGTTCTTGCCTGCCAAGTGGCCAACATTCTGTCGACCTCGGCACAATGCTACATTTTAGTTTCGCCTCTTCTTCAGCCTTTACATACATATCTCCATACTGTGCACACTCGAAATATTGAACACCAAACTGTGTGAAAAATCGTAAGAGAAAGAGTGAACGAATTTGTTTTCGCATTTAATATTCTGTGAATATTAATATTAAGTGAACGTTCGGTAAAAAAATGTATTTTTTTGTGCTTTGAACAAACAAACTACTTAGTGCTGGGGCGTAAGCTTTATCTCAAAATATATACAAATAGCAATTTATTACAAATTTATAAAGGCTATTTAAATTGCTGGCTCAAGTTAAAGACAGCAATAAAACAAGAAAGCTGTGCTATAGTCTAGTGGGCTCATCTCTTCGATATCCTGTGCCCAGTCCAACAAAAACAACATTAAAAATTGCAAAATTCTTGTGAATTAATTTTATTTTTTAATCAAAAGCAGGAAAAAAAAACAAACTTGATCTGTCTAGACTCTAGAGCTTAGTGGAACCTGATTATCCTTGCACTCATGCAGACGGACAGACGCACACGGTTATATCGACTCGTTTTGTCATCCTGATCAAGAACATATATATATACTTTGGGCATTTGCCACGCCTTCTTCCAGGCATTACATACATTGTCACTAATCAATACTTTAGATACAAAGTTTAATAATACATAACGGAAAAGAAAAATTTATAAAGCAGCTATGTGCGTTAGAGGGGAAAATATACTTTCCTTGATTGCTCCTAATGTCTAATTTCGCTTTAACTTTTAGCGAATTGTTTTTATTGAAGAAGCAAGACAATGATGAGGGCAGTTCGTTTCGTCTCAAAACTTATGAGTGGCATAAACGTTTGACTAACAATTTGAACTGGCATACCGTGCAAAATTACAATATTATTTTGGCTTTTCGTCAGAGTTTTTCTTCTTTCACCTTAAATGAACAAAAATATGCAAAGTTTCATTCATAGTTGGTTGGAATTCGTTCACTGTATCGAGCGTACACTGCAGAAGGATGTCGACGTATGCGCAAGTGTGCGTCAGTATTTGTTAGCTGGCTTTCGTGCGCTTTTGCTCATTTCAATTTTGTAATTGAGATTAGCTCTTTGGGAATAATGGAGATCAGATCATTTAATTAACTTTGTTTTCGAGTACGTCGAGTCGTTGTCGTCTTCGGTGCTGCTGTTACTGTTACTGCTACCGCCAGTGCCACTACTGCTACTCTTGCTGCTCTTGTATGTCAAGAGTCTTCAACTGTCTGTGGGCGTCAAGCAGCATCTGAACATGTCTCGGTCTCTGTCTCTGTCCCTGTCTCTTTCTCTGTCTTTGATTGAAGTAACAAGTTCTCTCGAACGCAATAATTTTACGATTGCTGCCTTCACTCTCAGTCGCATGCACTTTCATTTGCTCGGCACCAATTTCATTTGCTAATTTGTGGCCAAGCAATGCGACTGGCCGCATGTCTTGACCAATTTTCCAAAATTTTGTTCAGCTCTAGTGCGGTTTTCATTCCATCTCTGACACTGGCATTTCATTTTCTGAATTGAAAATCAGAAGAAAGAAAAGAAAGTGATGTTATGGCTAAGCTAGGAGTCCCAATTATAATTATAACACAGCCGCATTTCCACAAAGTAGCAGTTGCCAGTCTTCAGCCTTCAGTCGCCAGTCTAACTATGAGTGCTCGTCCTTTCGGGGCTATGCATCTAATTTGCATTGGCTAAGGAAATTGCCGTTCTCGCCTTTGCCGTCGCATTTTTCATCTTCACTTGTCTCCGAATGAGACAAAAATTGCATTCAGCTGTTTGTTTTTATGCGCTGTCATGAGAATTCAAAACTACTTTTTGAATAATTTCATTTATTTATTTTCACATCGCATAAAAGTTTGCCTGTGCAGTTGAAGGAAAGATGAAACTGCATTCGTCATTCACTTATTTATTTAGTTTTTCTCATCTCACTCGCTCTCTCTCTCTCTCTATTTCTGTTTCATTCCCTGCATCTCCCTTTCCTTTTTTCAATGTATAGCTTAAATGTTAAAAAGGCGCAAAAGTTCTTGATGCACGATTTGTTGTTGTTGTTGTTGTTGCTGCTGCTACCATTGTTGCTTGTTTCCACACCCACTTCCAGAATCGTCCTGCTCGTTTTATTTGTCAGCGCGAGTGTCAAAAGTTGTTGACTGCGTTGAAGTGCCTGGCAATTGATGCCATTTTGTGTATTGTGGCTGAGCTTGTATTTTAATTAAAAATAGCAAAGAGCAGGCGGCCATTTTATGTGTGCATATCAGCAAAGTGCAGGCGCCTCCCACCACCCCCCCCCCCTACCCCCACTTCATTTACACCCCGTCGCTCTATTATAAATCCAAACGCTCAGGCATTGTCTGTTTGTTTGTGCGTGTATATGTGAGTGTGGCTCCAAAGATACTGCAATTTGTTTGCTCAACTCCTAACAACTGCAAAATTGCAACAATGCTGGCACACTCTCACACCCCAGACCCCATTACGGACCCGCTCTGCAAACTTTGGCGCAGTCGAAAAACTTTTATGCAAGTCGCCTGCACCCTTGCTTTTTTCTCGTGCTTCTCAGCTTTTCAGCCCTCAACCCTTTTTATCTGCACTTGTCGGCGCTCGGCGCTCTGTGTGTTTGTTTAGCGAAAGGACGCCGAGCAGGACGACGATGCGGCCTTTATTGCTGATGCTGTTGTTGTTGCTATTGTGCTTTTGCCAGGTGAACGGCACGGCACCCAAGTGACATTTATGCGCCGTTTAATGTTCTTCAGTTGAGTGCATTTAGAAAACGACGCTGCACAATTGAATAATGCTGCTCGATGCTCTATCTAACCAGACATCGCACATTAGTTTGACATTTGCAGCAGCGACTGCAACACACATTCTGCCTAATTAGTGCAGTTGCCCGCCATTTTGTTGTCAGCGCTGTGTGGGCGTTGCGACACTCAATTGGCACCTGCAGCGCAACAGATTTTGACAGGTGGCCAAATTGTTGTCAATCTGTCGTGCCTCATTAATTGCCAATGGGGACACACAAATATCTTATGTGGATGATTGGTGCAGAAGTTTATAAAAATGTTTGAGAGATGGTAGCATTTCAGACCCATTAGACAATTAGGTAAACTGCTCGTCATTTTGCTGACGATCAAGATACATACATCTGTGGTCCGTCTGGATTGCGGAAACGACTGAGCCCACATTCACTTTCTTCAGCCTTACACATAGGAAACACGATTACATTTGTTTCTTATCTTTATTGTTCTTCAGTAGAGATCTCCATCAAGACTGTCCACAATTCCAAATATACGTATTATATATTTATTTAAATTTATTATGTTATATTATTTTCATAGCCTAAAAAAAGTTATTTCCGGAACAATTTCGAGCAAGTACTTAACCCCCGCTTCTCTTTCTCTTCTTCACCTGACCTAGTAATGTCGCAAGAAATTTGAATCTTATGAAACTCTCTCCCCCTTTCTCTCTTGAATCTACACTGGGATCTAAACAATACAACATTTTGCAATTTCAGAGTTTCATCATATAATCGATAACAACTCCACAGAGCATGCAGAAGAGTGTAGAATATTTCTTTAGCAATATTTCCAGACAATAAAGGCGAAGAAATTGCAATAACCATCAGTTATGCCCACTAGATCTAAGGCTGACTTAGAGTATTGTGCCCAATATTCACTTTATTCAGAACTTTGTTCTTGGAGCCACAAATGCAATCCATATTTCGATGGATCTATTTAAGCAATTCTTAAGCTATATACGCATACTTGTATTATAAATTTATAGCATTCTTTTGGCCGTTAAAATATAAGCTATCCGATTAGAAATGTTGCCGCAATATGTCGAGCCCTAAAAGTATGTTAGCAACTGTTAATTATTTTCAAATGGCCGCATTTCTCTCAGTGTATCTGATAGGCGCTTTTCAGTGGCTGCTTTAATTTTAAACATACTTTTTAAATCTGCAAATTTTAGGTTTGGGCGTAGGGACGCAGGGTGTCTTATAGTCAGATGCAGCCATTGCTTTATTTCTATTTTATTTTGTAGCCCTCATATAGCTTCTGCCAGTCTTTTGCCTATTCTTCTTGCTGACGCTATGTGTTCCTGCTAAAAGGAAAACTTGTCACTTGTGCGCAACTTTTTGAATGCCTTGTGCTAACTTCTTGGCTCAAAGTTGGCGCAAAATACTTTGCGCAAATATTGTTTTCGCATGCTTTTGTTGCGCTAAGCAGCCCTAAGAAGCGGATGAAGGAGCAGGTGGTGGTGGAGAAGAAGTAGAGGTGGTGGAGAGGATGAGGAACACAAAATGCCTGCAACTTGCAGCGTAAATTGTATCAATGTGCTCAGCTCTGCTCTTCATCCGTGAATTTTTGTTCACTTGTTTTCATCTTTGCCATACGTTGGCATGTGTATTGGCATTTTCAGCGGTTATTTGTATCGTTCTACTATAGTTTACTTTGTTGTTGTTGTTGCTATTGTGGCTGTTTCTGGTGATGCCGTTGCGGTTGCTATTTTCGATTTTGTTGCAAACGCAACGCTTTTTGAACTTTATTTTATTTCAAATTGTTTTTTGGCAATTTCCTTAAAACGAAAAGTTGAAAAGTTTTGAGGGAAAAAAATACTTGTATGCCGTTTTTGTGCACGCATTCTTGCGCTCTCTATTTTAGAAAATGCATGCAACACTAACTGCAAAATATTCAAATCAATATATACAGCAGCAGCAGTGGCAGCAGCAGCGGCAGCAATAGCACTGATATACTATACATACAAATATTTGTTGTTGAGGCTTTTAACATAAAATTGTTGCCTCTAAAGTGGCACCATCTCCACGTTTTGTAATTACTGATTGATTGGAATTGCTTTGAAGTTGCTTGCACTCATGGCTTGCGTTGGGGTAGTTCGAAAAAGCCCTGCAAGAAAAATGGACTCATATTTTGATGGCTGAGACTAAAGGATTCCATGTGCTTCACTTACACATGCACGCTTCAATATCGAGTCCTTGCTTGCCTCATACGGATGTTGCTTTGACGGTATTTCTAGGACAGTCGGCACGGGCAGCAAATGAGAATCGATTGTTGCGCGTATCATATCCGCATAGATTTGATTGATTAATATGATGCCGATGTCGCTGCGTTCTACGAAGCGTTTAAAGCACGCCTCTATTTCAATGGCTGTGGTGTCTGCAGATTCAATTGGTTTTGCTTACCGTATTAAACCTATAGCTATTCCCCAATAAACTCACCTCTCTCAACGACCATAAAGTTCGATTGACGCTGCTCATTGATTTCACCAATGCCACCAAGTAGAAACCCCACGCAGGTGTCCTGGTGACAAACAGAAATTGAGAGAAGCCTTACACTAGCTCCTTGTCACAGCTACTCTGTTGAGCACATACCTCGTCACCAATAACAGCTAAAAGCTGGCCCAGATCTTCTGAGTACGTCGACATATTTTCAATTTCGGTTTTAATTTAATCTGTTTTCGTTGAACTACTTATTATTTTGATAAAGTATCACAAACAACTAACGCTATGATTGCTTTGCTTTTCATTAAGAATTTTTGTAATAGCAACAAACCTTTTTGGTTATTTCTATGTATTTGTATTGTAGACTTTATAACTAATGCGAAATTATTTCTAATCGAATCAAAATCACTTCTTATATAGTATGTATTTTAAATGTATCCAAATGCGCATCTTGGTTTTAGGTCGCATCTAACGACATTCAATTAATTATAAAATGTCCTGGGTTACATATCCAAAATCGATGTATTTTGTGTTTAGAGGGTAAGTATTGAAAAATCACTTTTGAGCAATTTTACACTCCAACTTAGTTATGGAAATCTTCTTTTATCACATTCTATTACAAATGATTTAGGTTTACACATTTGTATGCAATAATGAGTATTACTAGATGGTGTTATCATCAAAGCCTTTTTGAAAACAGCTCAGGCAAGCATTACAAGTAGTTTTTTAATTAATTTGTAATTTTTTTCAACTTCTTCCCAGATGCCTATCACTGTTCTCTTTATTATTATATATACGCATATAGTGTTCTATTTCCAGATTGGCATATACTATATGTTCCGTATATCAACCAAAAACTGCTGCATTAAAAATACTACTATACTGGAACTGCTATTCACGTGCTTTTTCTTTAAATAGTACTTCTACGCGTATGCCTCTCTGTTCCTTTGACGCCGGGTACGTTCCTTTTCGGTCATGTATGGCGCCAGAGAGTTTTTCGTGGGTATAACAATTACGATTGGCAAATGCCGTTTGCACTTATCGAGCTCGGAATGCAAACGCTTAGCGATATCATAGTCCAGCAAAATAATGCCCATATTGTGACGTGCATATAGGGTTAGGAAAAAATCCTCGATTACCTTAAAATCGGTTGCTGTGTGATCAACGAAAATGAGGAAATGAAACAAACAAAATACATATGTGTCTTAAATCATACTTCTGTCCACCATCATATAATTTCTGAAGTGCTTTTTGTGAAATCCTATGCCAGTCAATAAAAATCCAAGCGTGACTTCCTAAAAAGGCGTGCCCATCGTTTTAATAGCTCCTTAAGCAATATTTACTTAAGATACTCACATTATCTGCTATGATACCAATTTTAATGTCGTTGGGATCTTCATGTTCTACTTCCTGTCCTTCTTCTTCTTGCTCAGAAATCGATGATTCCGACGGCCTTCCGTCAGGGTTCTCATGTTTTGCTTGTGATTTGCGACTAGCCATTTTTTAAGTATCTGGGTATAAATTTCGAGTTGTGTTCCAAATTAAAAATGAGCAGCTCACTTGGATGTGTTGACTGACTTACTGTTCATTTGAATTTTTGTTAAGCGTTTTCGAAATAGGCGGCTCTGCACTTGACAGCAGCACACTTGATGGAAAATGCATTGACTGCACTTTCCAGTTGCCATTCTGCCTTTTTTCTCGGCGTGCTCGTATACGTATTTGTGCAGCTTTGTGAAGCGTGAAACAAGTTTTATAATTGTTTAAAATGTGTGCAATGTAGTTGGTGCTGCTGCCGTCGGCTGCAGTGCAATTTTATAACGAATTTTTGTCAGTTGGCGCTCAAAACTTAATCGAAAGTGGAGCTGTTTTGACACACAATTTGCCGCCGCCCCTCCCAGCATTTTTCTCTTGCGTAATTGGGCGCTAAAACTTAATGCTGCGATAGCACACACATTACCCATACGCAACGTTGGCCGCCTGGCCGTCGTCTATGGTCGAAAGTGAATTGTTCATAATGTAAACTGATTAAGCACTACTATTGTTTTCCATTTCATGCTGCAGGCCATTTGTTCAATCGTTTACGTTATCCACATGCCTTTTAGTTTACAATTCATGCAGCCTCTAGTATACTATGGGTAGGGTTCAACAACAACGCAGACGCTGATCGCGTTGCCACATATTTCATACCACTTCCACTTATAATTGTTTGCATATCAATGTCCATTTCGGCTGCCCATTATGTTGCCATGTTACATGTGTGGCCGCTAATTATGATTAATGCCCATGCTTATGACATTTGCAGTTAATTAGCAATTGCACAGCCGTAGGTACGTTGAACTTTTTGTGGCTGAAAAAATATCATAGCTTCATATTATTAAACAGCTGACTGTCATACACACACATACGAGTATACGTATATGCAGAAATTGTTGCCAATTGCTACTGCTTTCAGCGGCCTGCGCCACTCCAAAAATCAATTCCACACTGTCGTTGGCCTGCTGACCTTTTTCCACAATATCAAATAGTCAGTCAGGCAGTAAGCTAGTCAGCTAGTCAGCAACCGGCATTTTATGCTACCGGTTTTTGTTTATTAGCTGCTGATGGATATAAAAAACAACAACAATTACCGCAGAAACAACAACACTAACGGCAACAATTCATACACATGACTTTTTGGTTTGTGTTTTTTTTTTTTGGAATATGGTCATGGTGACATTTAATGCCGCCTACTCGTAGAAAATTTTCACTTATTCGCGGCACGTTTTGCCTATTTTCCAGCTAAGCGGTTAGCGTTTTAGGCCAATCTATAAATGCGTTTCAAATGTAAATGCATATTTATATGCTACAGCTGGTTCTTTACTTTAGTTTTTGTTTTCTCTTTTTGCCTAGAATGCTTACCTATCGTTTCAATCAGAGACATCAAAGGTTATGAATTTATTTTTAGCTTTCTCCGTATGCAACAAAAAGTAATTCGATTTTCTTATTCGATTGAAAAAGAATATCTGATTCATGAAATTGGAGGTCGGCTCCATTTCTTTTACGTTTCTGACCAGGCCATATATAAGTACATATATTGCAATGTTTTCAGGTCAACAATACGGTTTACCTATTTACCTGACTTGGTTGAATCTTGTAATTATACTATGTTGATATATCATCTCAAATCCAATAAGCTGTACGGTATTTTGTTTGCACGGTATTCTGGTTGAATACTCTACTATTTAATGTACTTTACATTACAGTATATGCTTGTTGTATGTTTTTAGCTTTCAATAAAGTTGCATTGCTTGGCCCTACAATTAAGTAAATGCACATATTGTCAGTGCCTCCCAAAATTGCAATATTGTTGGATCTGGAGAAGGCCCATACTGAAGAGAATGTTGAGCCTACCTGAAAAACCTACCACTGTACCATGTCCATTAAATACACAAATGATTTTTCACGTCTAGAACATCTCACACTTTATAAAATGCTTACCAAAAAGCAGCTCCTGATCTCTTATAAGCCCTTTTTAAGCTACTCGTATATTGGTTTTTAGTTAAGGTCGAAAATAATGAGTGTTCTTTGCATAACAGTGATGGTTTCGATCAGAATGGTGCTCGTTCAAATATTATTTCATCCAATAAATGCATTTTTATACCCTGTATCCGTAGGGTAAAAAGGGTATATTAGGTTTGTGCAAAGTATGTAACATACAGAAGGAAGCATCTCCGACCCCATAAAGTATATATATTCTTGATCAGCATGACGAGAGAAATCGATCTAGACATGTCCGTCCGTCTGTCCGTCCGTCTGTCCGTCTGGATGAGCGCAAGGATCTCAGAAACTATAAAAGCTAGAATAACCAAAGTTGGCATCCAGATTCTCCTAGATCCGAGTAAGGACGAGTTTATTTTTTTTTTTAATTTTCCCTCCCTTCCCCCGCTGCAGAATTTCGTCAATAGCGTCCACATTTCAAATGCTACCTAAACCAAACTTGGCACACATAATATAATTATATATAATTGTCTACTGTTGTATCAAATTTTATTCAATTCGGTCAATTCTAAGAAAGGTTATTAGCAAAACAAATTCTCGCCAGTACAACCCCCCGAAACTGCAGCAACAAGTTCGCTCTTCTTCTTCCTCTTTTTGCTGCTGCTATGGGCGCATATAACTCAGTGACGGAAGTTTACCTGGGTACAGGGTATTACACTGTCGGACTTGCTCGACTGTAGCGTTCTCTCTTGTTTAAATATATAAGGAGCATTGGCGTTTTGCCTTTCACCCGATAAAAAGGTCACTACACATACTTTTATGTTTGTGCAGTGTACAAAAAGCCATAACTTAGGTATTGCTGTTATATAATACAGTTCGCTAGCGTCGTCATTGCCGATGTCATCGTAGTCGTATGCACATCACGCAAATCAAGCCACAAAATATTCGCATACGCTTTCTTCTGCAACTTCTTCCTCTGCTGCTTCCTCTTCTACATTACATTGAAATGAACCTTTCAATGCGCGTATCACGCTGCCTGATTATTCAACAACTTTTATTGAAAGGTAAACAGGCGTGCAAAAAACAACAATAACACGTAGCAACAACAACACACACCAGCAAGAAAGTAATGTGCAAAATGTCAAATGCAGCAAACAGCAGAGAGTACATAACATCATCAACAACAACAACAACAACATCGACAAAAACATCAACCAAACTCCACAACAACATCAACAGATGCCTGCCGCCATTCACTTACTCGCTCGGTCGCTCGCAATACTTTTTTTTAATTTTTTATTTAGTTCGATTCAATTCAACTGTGAAATTAGCATAATGACAACATAATAAACAACAGCAACGTGCAATGAATTGGCAGCTAAAGCGGCAGATGCGGTGGAGGATTGGGCTTAAAATCAATTCTATGTACGCTTAAGTTTTTAAAAGCTTAGACCGCAGCCACAACCAACCACACATACGAGTATGCATATCAGCCAATTAACTGTAACTACCACGTAGTACTTGTATGATTGGCATGCCAGGTAGGCGATCTCGCCAACTAACCGCTACAGTGTTCTGTTGTAGCATTTACAGGAAGTGGCGACTGATTTACTAGCGGGATAAAGGTTCGATGGGAAAGCAAAGAACCATTATATTTGGAAGATCCCGTTATTAAACAGCATAGATCACAAGTTGGATTACATGATGATGAACCCACAAGGTCTTCATTTTGCTGGTTTTTAGTTAAGGTTTTGGTAGAATATGCTTTCTAGTTAATGGATCTCTGACTCGTCGTACCTTATTTAGAAGCATGTACAATTATATTCATTATTTTCAATATGTATTGGATTACATTTAATGAATATGTTAGACTATTACGGATAACTAATACAAATAATTTCATAAAAGTATTATAATCATAAAGCAAATTGTGATTTCATATTCACATATATTTCTAAGTTATTATTCTCGTTTCTTGATAACTGCCTTTATTTTGTGAAAATTTGTTATCCAATTTTTATTTGTTATTGTTGCAACATCGCACTAAGATATTGTTAAATATTTAGTGTACATCTTTAAGTAAGCAAAACATTTACGAGAATATTTAAGTTTCGAATAATCCCTTTTTCATTTTGGACCCTCAGAACTGAGGGGTTATTGAACATGCACATTATGTGTGTGTGTGTGTGTGTGTGTGTGTGTGTGTGTGTGTGTGTGTGTGTGTGTGTGTGTGTGTGTGTGTGTGTGTGTGTGTGCTGTGAGTCATAATGCATGCCGCTGCCAAGCCAAAAATCGTGTCAATGCATTGAACGCAACTTTTTTTTGGGTTGATAACCTCTGGCATGTTGCCCGCCCCGATGCGGGTATTTGTCGATTCCATTGACGAACTGGGTCAAAATGTGGTGGCCGTGCTGCTGGCGACTGTTTATTAGCCAAGTGCGCAAACGAATGGCCCACAACACCAACAATAAAATAAAAATAAAAACCGTTAATAGAAATGCATTAAAGCTAAAACGGTTTTGGCATTTGTTCCAATTCTAAGAGCATGCCACACATTAGTCTTTAGTAATGTGACGGACTGCAAATCACGTTAAGAATCAAAATTTATCAAAAACGTCACGTAATTACCAAGCAGTCAGCGCAACTGGCAGAACCTAACATATTTACTTATATACTTGTATATTGTACATATGTGTGTATATGTTTGTATCTATGTACATATGTATTTAGAGAACGAACACATGTGCCAGTCTCCACTTGCGACTTCTTTTCAAATTCCCAGCAGCTGTCTGTTGACTTTGTCAGCAGATGCGTTTGATTTGTTGCTACCATTGTTGTTGTAGTTGCTTTTGGTGTGTTGCTGTTGTAGGGCCTTCCACACATAGACATACACTCATTGGTCGCTCGCTACGTATTGTGTGTTGTATCTTATTTTATATTCCAATCACAAAAGACGTTGTCAAAGCGACAGCAATGCCGAAAAGTGCTGCTGTTGTTGTTGTTGTTGCTGATGTTGTTGCTGTTATTGCTGCTGCCGCCGACGCCTCTAAAGACATCGTCATGGTTGT